TCCGACTCAATGGCACCTGACAACAACAACAACAAACACTGAAGACCATTCACCAAAATGAATGACAACAACAATGTTTAGTAAAAACAAGATTCTTACTATCGAGACACCCTGGGTTTCCTCTTGCCCATCTGTAACTCAGTCTCTGTGGGTAACTTCAGTTCTTCTTGGTCTTGTCCTAGGAGAATTATTGCCAGAAGTGTGGGGGGCGGGGAGCCTGCCTATCAGTGAGCTTTTTCTCATCCAGACCTCTCCGTTCCAGACACCACACTTCCCGCCCGACTCAGATCTCCTTCTGAAGGCAGCCAGAACCTACCACCGCTTCCTGACCTGGCCTGCTCCTTACTGTAGCATCTGCCAGGAACTCCTCACCTTCATTGACGCTGAACTCAAGGCTCCAGGTGAGTGTTGAGACAGCCAACACATGGGGCCAGGGCACACGATCCAGATGAACACAGCTTTTCTTAAACTCTTCTTTGACTGTGACTCTCCTCACCTTGAATCCTCCTGCTCATTACTGTCCGGGCCCTGAAACAAAGCCCAGGAGTTACTTCTTCTTGGGACATATGACAGGAAATGGCTGATTCTGCACAGGCTGAAAGCAGTAAACATGGGAAAGAACTGAAGGTGCAATTCTTTGAGAAAACTGGAACCCAGTGTTCAGGGCAAGGGGACCCCGCCACTTGACTCTGCTTCTGTTTTGGTTAAGGTGAAGGGTCTCTTAGAGACTTCCTATGTCTGATAGGGCCTAAGAATATTGACAGGAGGTGACTGGTACTAGGAAAGGAGAGAGAGGTCAGTGGCTGCCAGGGGTCTGACGTTATCTGAGTTTTCGTGTGTGTGATCTGAAGAGTAGGAGTTCTTGAAAAATTGCAGATGCTGTCACCAGCGAGCACGTGGCATCTAAGAAAACCATTACAGGGCAAGAGAAAACGTGATCAAGTATGGCTTGCTGAGAGGTAGCCAATATTAGAAAATCGATTAACATAATCCACCACATCGATAACGCAAAACAATAAAATTACATTAACATCTGAATCCATGCCTTTAAGACATTCAGTACAATTCAATATATCCATTCCTGGTACTCAAGACTCCTCTAGTATGTAGAAGCTATTAATGTATGAAAGGAGCCCTGTATATTAGGTAGTAATGTGGCTAAAAAAGCTCAGTTGCCAACTAAAAAGGTTAGAGGTTCAAATCTACTAAGTGCTCTGTAGAAGAAAGATGTAGCAGTCTGTCTCTATACAGATTTGTTGTGGTGGTTATGCCAGTAAGTCAGTTTTGACTCATAGCAATCCTGTAAATGGTTTCTAAGAATGACTGGTAGGTTTGAACTGCCAACCATGTGGTTAGCAGTCCAGTACTTATCCTATAGTGCCCCACCAGGACTCCCTATAAAGATTTACAGACTTGGGAATCCTATAGGGCTGTTGGACTCTGTCCTGTCAGTCGGCTTTGAGTTGAAATTGACTTGTCCTTCATTTAATAATCGACCAAGATGAAATTCTGGAGACTTCCCATGCAAATTCAGAATCTTCCTCTTTCTGTTTAAAAGTATTTTGCTTATGCAAAACCCCAAACTCAACAAACAAATTAATAATATTTCCTCTTCTGGAGAAGATAAAATTTTAATTATTTACAGGTCAAACAATCGCTTATTTGTCAAGACCAAGAGAATCACCTGAACAGCTCTAATAAGCGTGTAGCTTTTCCATATACTTATCGCTAGTAAGAAAACATAAGTAAATAAATAAAATTTATAGTCACAACTAAAAACAGAAAATAAATCAAAGAAATGTGAATCATTTACATAGAGAAAATAATGAAACTTTTAACAAATTGTATTTATTTTGTTGTTAAGGATAGGAGCCCTGATGGTGCAGTAGTTAAGTGCTTGCCCGCCAGCCAAAACCTGAGCAGTTTGAACCCAGGCACTAGTTGATACAAAGATGTGGCAGTTTGCTTGCATAAAGATGACAGCCTTGAAAACGCTATGGGACAGGCGGTTCTACTGTGTCTTCTAGGGTCACTGTGAAATGTACTCAGCAAAGCATATACAAGCCCACAGTTTCTACGTGTACAATGCAATGACATGATTACATTCTTTGAGTTATGCAACTATTTATCAGCCTTCTTTTCTAAATTGTTTCTCCTCCATTCACATAAACTCACTGCCCCCTAAGAGTCCATCTAATCTTTGAGTTGCTGTTGTCAACTGGATCCCAAACAGACTGACGTTTTTGTTTTTTCCTGCTGGTCTTTCTTTCAGGAAGTATCTTCTGTTCCTCTAGCCATTCTGGGCTGGTCTACATGTCCTTTCAAATGGGAATGTCCCACCTCAGAAGGTTCTGGCTGGGGCTCAGGATTCCACCTAAGGTCCTATACACTACAAAGGTGCCACAAGAAACCTATTTCACTGGGAAAGTTCTAGAATCCCTTTTAGGTATTCCAATCAGTTACACGCTGAAGACAGGCTTATAAGCTTTCTATAATCATGTTTCCCGACAATCCATTCTGTCCCACTCAAGTGGAATACAATACTAGGCAAGGGAAACCAATATTCATAAGGCAGTCAAGCATCTTAGTATTCTTTCCCCTCTTCAGGCTATGCCTCGATCCCTGTATCCCAGAGCCTTGTTGTTCCAAGGTTGAGCATACATCACTATTTACCTCTGTCCCATTTAGCCTATGCAAACCCACCTGAGCGTTCCCCTATCTACCTTGTTCTTCCATCCCTCTCCCCTTTCTTGTGTATTGCCCTCCCCTTCCTTGTATATTGTCCTTCCCAACACCCAAACTATGATGTGTCTTATTCCCTAACCTGTGTTTTACTGTCTCGTCCCTCCCACCCCGATAATCACCAAAGATTTTTTTTTTTTTTCTTTTAGTATGGGTATCTTTTCTTAAGCTTTTACAATAATGGTCTTATGCACTATTTGTCCTTTTGTGACTGACTTAATTTCACTCAGCATAATGTCTCAAGGTTCATCCATGTTCTGTGGTGGTTTGCAGCTTCCTTGTTATTGTTCAAAGTAGCATAATATTCCATTGTGTGTATGTACCAAAGTTTGTTTATGCATTCTTCCATTGATGGGCACTTAGGCTGTCTCCATCTTCGTGTGTAGTGTGGTGTTAAACATTGGTGTGCATATATCTACTCGTGTTCTGGCTTGTATTTCCTGTGGATATATACCGAGTAGAGGAATTGTGGAATCATGAGGTGTATCTATTTCCAACTTTCTGAGGAAGCGCTGTACTGTTTTCCAGAGTGGCTGGACCATTTTGCATTCCCAGCAGCAACGTAGGAGGGTCCCAGTCTCTCCACATCCTCACCACTATTTATTGTCCTCTGCTTTTATTGAACTTGCTATTATTGTTGGTATGAGATGATAGCTCATTGTTGTTTTGATTTGTATCTCTCAGATGGCTAATGATCATGAACAATTTCTTCATATGTTTGTTGATTGCCTGAATACCCTCCTTGGTGATGTCCTGTGCTCATTTTTTAATTGGGTTATTTGTCTTTTTCTTGGAGAGGCATTGTAGCTTTCCTGTAGATTTTAGAGATGAGTCCCTGGTCTATGTATGTGTTAGTTTTCTTTTTTCTTTTACATCTGCATGCATTTAAGTTTAGTACTAAGAGCATTTAATTCTCCTCACACAAAAACAATAAAAGTACTAAACTTTTCATTTCCAACAACATGCGGATCCTGGAAAACCCAGGGCTGAAGCTTTGTGTGTAAACTCCTGAGGCAGTCGTGATTTCCTTCCCCGTAATTTGACTTATCTGTCTGTCTGTTTTGATGAAGGAACAGAGCCGGCACAATAAACTAGGGTTGGCCAACCTAAAAGCCTACCTACCTATCATGTAGCCTTCACCTGATGGAAGGAGCATGGATGGGAGAGATACAAGAGCAGGAAACCCTGGGGAGGAGGTTGTTGGATTAAGAAAGGTCCTGGGGTACATGATGTCTGCCAACCTCATGTTCCAAGGCACCCTAAATAAGCAAACCAGTTTTTAAAAAATCTTCTTTGTTTCCTCTCCCCACATTGTCCACTAGAACAAACAAATAGATCAAGATGTCTTCTGGGTTTCATGTTGGTGATTGGAATTTTTTAACAAGAGGCAAAGTTTTTCTGCCTTTCCTTGATGTAGAGAGAAGGGATTTAAAATGCAAATACCTTGACAGGGCCCATGTGTACCAAAGATATAAAATGCCTCTTTCTTATTTTGAAATGGATAGCAGAGTTCTTGGGTTCGGGAAAGGGTGTCTTCTTCTGTGGGGAGACCGCTTCCCAATTTCAAATAGAACCAGCTGCCTCGTCTCAGCTGAACGCATGCTATGTCATGAGGTATTTTTTTTGGGTGGCTGGGTGGGAACTTTTTCCTGGGCAGCCCAGCTAGCAGATGTTCAGCAGAGGGGTGGGCTGTGGTGAGGCCCAGACCCTGGGACAGTACAGTTCTAAGAGCCAGGTAGAGCCATATCTGAACATGTCAGTGGGATAAGTAAGGGTCCTATGGCCCCTTTGAGCCCTTGTCACTGGACCTTCCCTTCACATTGCTTCTGGGAGCGTGCTGTGGTCTGCGTGGAGGTCCCCTGTAGGGGTGAGACATCCTGCTGACCTAGGAGAAGGCAAGTGCTTGGAAAGAGATGCTCAGACCCCGCTTGTCCTTGCCAGAAACATCTCTCAAAGGAAAAGCAGAACTGAAATCGGCAACCATTATCTCTCCCTCATGTCAGAGAACTATTTCTAGTTAAAAACCGAGTTCTCTCACAAAAATCGAGTGAGTTTGTTCCACAGATATATTCAACTCATGAATGAGGGAACCAATAGAATCGTAGAGCAGGTTAAAAAAAGGCACGAGAAATTGAGATCGTGTGGAAAAAGAATGCTGGAATAATGAGATCTGGGAGCGCAGCGGGTTGAGTGCTAGAATGTTCACCACAAGGTTGGTGCTTCAAACTCATCAGCTACGTCACTCGAAAAAGATGAGACTGTCTGCTCCCGTTAAGATTTATAACCTTAAAAACCCTAAGGAATAGTTCTGCTTTCTCCTACAGGGTTGCCATGAGTTGGAATTGATTTGACAGCACTGGGTTTGGTTTAGATTTGGGAATAAGATGATAAAGTTAGATACAAAATTAGCTAATTTCTTTTTAAAGAAAAAAAGAAACAATAGTTGGTTATTAATTCCTACTCATGGTAACCCCATATGTATCAGAGTAGAACTGTGCTCTGTAAGGTTTTCGGTGGCTTGAACTTTTCTGTTAGCTGTCAAACTTAATAACTGTATGTTGTTGTTAACATCTTGTCAGTGCTGATTCAGTGACCCTGTATAGGGTTTTCTAGGAGTGGCTGGTGAATTTGAACTGCCGACCTTGCAGTCCAGTGCTAT